ACACACACCCACGCTAGACACAAGGAGATCCCGAACTGCTCTTAGAATGATTAAAGAAAGGTCAGTTTCTTTGCCCGTATTACCTCATCAATTACTTAGCATACTGTAGTACTAGTACAAGATTATCTTTAAAAGTCCTCATCTCCAGCCTTGAGAGTCTTATTTCATTCACAGAAACACAAGAGAATCTTGTCCTTTTCCTTGCTATTACTATACTGCGATTTTTAAAATTATTTTTTAGTTTTGCAAATTCACAATTGTAAAGTATGCATTAAGGTCACATCTAAGAATAATGAAAGGCTGAATCAAACCTTATTTATTAAAGGATTTTAAAAGTTTGTCTCATGAAAAGCAATTAGTAAGTGTAAGCAGTTGCTTGTGGATTAAGTGTAGCCCAGGTCAACAACTGACAAATTAAGATAGAAGACTAGCAAACCGATGACTACAAGGTGAAATTACCTTTCTACCTAAAAAAACCCAACAACAAAAAGAAAAAAAAAAAACCCTTCAGATAAAAAAAACCTACAAAAAAACCCCCAAAACCCCTAACCCCCCAAAACCTTCCTTCAAGTATTGGAGCCCTAGAAGTACATGTTTTGTAGCTTTGGCAAAGCTCATTTGCTGATCTTAATTGCTAGGATGTATTTCAAAAGAATTAACTTTCCGTCCATCCATATGTGCACATTTTAACAGGATGTCAGTTTTCATCTGTCCCCTACCTCGTAACTGCTGCGGTCAAATACTGCATTTTTTACGTTGCTCCTAGAATCACCACCTCCCTTTCTCAGGTTTGAGCGTGTGAAGTTGTAGTAGTATTTCTGTATAAATGTCTGCTCTGCTGGAATGTCATAAAGCATCACTTACCATGAATTCAATAAATACAGAGTTGTACTATGCTGGGGGAAGAGAAAAATTTGGAAGTAGTTTTCTAGGCCAATGGCACACAACGGAGCAATTGCCTAAACTCTTGTAAAAGAGGTGTTTTCAACTGTAAAGGTACTATTCAGGTGGTTATCTTCTCTTTCAATGAGAGTCTTAAAGGTGGAGAAGGAGTTCAGATTCTGGACTCCTGTGTTGCAGATGTCCACAGGTCAGTTGTATGTAATTTCTGCACATTGACTTAGACATTTTAGGGAAGCCAAATATCCATTAGAGAATCCTAATACTTACCTATTTCAGTCAGCGTTTTCTTTGAAGTTTAAATGGTTAAATGTTACATGAGATCCTTGACTGAATAGTCGGAATCCCTTTAAGAAAACATTGTGTTAGATGCCAAGACCAGACACACTTTAACTGCAAACTTGAGTACAATAAAAGCTCAAGTACGGGTTAGCTGGTCTGAGTAGATATGTCTTGCTGACATTTTAGGCACATCTTCCTTAAAATATTTTAAGGCTAGTCTAATTGTTCCTGTATTCATAGAAAGAACAGAATCGTACGTTATTGCACAGTAACCTGTTTACATGCATGCTTTCTTTGGGAAAAAGTCTCCTGTAATTGCAGTAGTGATTTATTGTTTGTATAAAGTGAGTAGGAGCTACAGCAGGCAGAAGCCAAGGTGTTTTCAGGCTGAAAGCTGAGGAGCCCTGTGGTCTTCAGCCCTCGAAGTCACCGTACAAACCTGTGTCATCTCTTAATACATTGTCTTTCTGTTCGGTTGTAGTTCCTAAAGCAGCCACCAACAGATGCAATGTGAAGGAGCCTAACCTCCTTCATTGGTCCGAGGTGATCTATGTCTTACAGAAGCAAATTATAGCTCCTGAATGACACATGGAGCACGTTGAGAAGAGTTTTCTTCTCAGCCACCTCTTGCCTACAGAGGCGGCACGCCCACTGGCAGCGGCAGGTACTGAACGTGATTCCTACATGCAACAGTTGTGCTGTGTGCTTGTTGAGTCCTGGGTGCAAGTCTGTGGCTCAGTGGTGTTGCATTTGCATTAATAACCTCTCCTTTAACACCAGCAATTTTCCTGAGTGTCAGCTGCTGGAGGAAATAGCCAGCAAAGATGTACAACTGTGGAATATGGTAAAAAGTTGTTATCTGCCACCCAGAATGACAAGGTTGGCAGGTCTAAGCTAAGACTCCTTCATTTGTGTAGATGTGTTGTAGCTTGTTTTTAAGGTACGGAGGCACGTTTTGGATCCATCATGATTGTTTTACATCTGAGTATTCTTTTTCTTTGTAAAAAATAGGTTAGGACCTTTGATGTCCATTTCAGATTAAATTCTTGTCTAGGATTCCTGCCTCTTTTATGAAATTTGGCTGGGCTTTTTTTTTCCTTTTCTACTGGTTCTTTATGATTTCTCTCTGATAATGTACAGCTTGGCCTTTGTTTATCTTCTGTATCTTTTGCTTGTGGAAATGTTCCCAAAAGTCATTGTGAATGTTTAAATTTTTTATTTTATAAGTTTAATCTTTACTGATCACTTTAAAGCTTATAGATGCATATATAATATTCAAAAATAGGATTGGTCATAATATTTTAAAGGGAATTGCCTTGAAACATCAAATACCCTTGTAATATCCTGTGGTATGATACCACTGAAGGATGTATTTGCAGCTCTGCTTTTGTAGTAGTCCTTTTTGGTAGCCTGTATCATCTGTAAAAATAGTAATCTTGAAGTAATTTTGTAGTGAATTCTTTGTATGATGGTTTAAAACTCTAGAAGAGAAATACTTTCCTTATCTTATAGGCCAGACCAAACAGCTGAACCCACAGACTTGGGTTGTTACAACAATAAGGAAACCCATTGAAAGCAGTGGCACAGGGGATTCTCTGCTTAGATCAGTCAAACAGTCTTGCCCTAACTTTCTGTAATACTCAAGTAACTGTCCTGAATGCAGCTTCAGACGGATTTTTGAAGTTACAGACCTAGTGACCTGTGGAAATATTTTATGTTATATTGTTTCTTGTGGAATAAGAAATGCCAAATGGCATTCATAATGTCGCACTCCTCCTAAGAAGGTTTAATTCTGAACTTTCTCCTCCATGACTCTCCAACTCTGAGAAGAAATATTAGAACTTGTGTGTTGTGGTTTGTTAAAAAATGTAAATTTATGTTCCAAATTGTTTGTCAGTCTCTGAGAAAATTAGAAGTAATTAAATAGAAAGTTCTACAGATTTGTGCCATTTCCATACCCTCTCATCTCAAGATGGTGTGAGAAGCAGACAATTGTAATAACTTGCTGCGACTCCTTTCCAGCTTAATTTGATCTTGTTCCTTAATTCTGACAGATTGTTTTTAATTTTCCCATCTGTTCCATAAAAATCTCAAGTGATTGACTCTTAGGAAAAAATAATGTCTAATAGCTGAGCCATTTCTAATGAGTTGGTATGAGTTATTTAATGAGATGTGCTGAAGAAGGCAAGCCAAGTGAAAGATTGGGCCTGGAGTGGCGGATGTAAGGAAAGGTAAAGGGCAACCATATGCTTCAGGAAATCTCTACTCTTCTCTTTATCCTCAGCTTTAGACTGCTGCCGTCTCCAGTTTCAGGCAGTGCATATCCTTAGACCCATGGACAAAACACAAAGGTTCAGC